GGAAGCAACCCTCCTTCCCTTTGAGCACTGATGACATCACCTAGCTGGGTAATGAAACGTCTGCAGGAAAGCAACCCAGCTCAGGAAACACCGAGGAGTTGCTCAACCGCGTGATGTTTGGCAGCAGACTCAGGAGCCCCCAGTGATGCCCTGGCACAGGCAAGCCTCAAGTATATTGCATGCCAAGGATGCCCTTCTGGAAAACCCAGTATATGTGCTTGTGGAAGAGTGGCACAGGCCAGGATTAAGGACAGGGTGATGCTTGCTTTTACCCCTGGTGCTAAGCCGGTCTCCGGTTCATTATTTAGGCTTAGCGTGAGAATCCAGCAATGGTGGCTTCCCATCGCTTAAGTCGTGTGGCATCAACATTGCTGATTGGGACTTTTATGGTGAGCCACAGATTGAGCTGATGTGAAGGACCTCTTTTTAACAGAATAATGACAGAGTTGGTTGGAAGGGACCTTGGAGGTCTTCTAGTCCAGCCCCCTGCTCAGGCAGGAAACCCTATACACCATTTCAGACTTTGATGCAACCACCTACTGAATTGGGAGGGAAGGAAGAAAAGAGCCAAGTGTCAACAATTGTTGTGTTTCTGTTGTTGAGTCAAGGGCTTCTCTGGGTTGAAATCTTAAGTCACCCTCGTGCAAAGGTTGCAAATAAATAGATCTTGTACAATGCAGCCCGCTACCGGGCCGTGGCCTATTCGTAACCAGGCCGCGTGAATGACAATTTGTCAATTGACTGCATCGATTTCCACGAGTGGCAGGCTGGCACGTGTGCGCACACACGCGTGCAGCTCTGCTTCTGAAAGTTGAACTGCGTGTGCAGGCGCACCGGCCCAACACTCTTGCGAGCTGAGCTGTGCACGCTGCCCCACAACTCACGCGCCCTGGTTCCCTTCTCTTCTTCCCCCCACACCACCAAACCGGACCCACAAGCCGCAAAGCTCGGGACTGCTGTTGTACAACCACCAGCTTCCAGCAGAGCTGGCAGCAGACTCAAACAACGAGGAGGTTGGGGAGGAACTTGGGCCAGTGCTGGAGACTGGGGAAGGCTCTGATGGATGCTCTGCGTCGGATGCAGAGATAGAGCCAGGGCCATCCGACATTTCTCAGCCGCCAGAGAGGCAGCTGCCTTTGGACGCTGAGATGAGTGAGGAGGAGGAAGAACAGCTGGGGCCTGTTCCAGATGCACATATGCGCAGAGCAGTTAGGAGAGGAGAACAATGGAGGACAAGGAGTTGACTTGGGAAGCAAAGCACACGTGGATGCTGAATGGCCCCTTCCTGGCTGGGGAATAAATAGAAGGAAAGGGGAGTGGTGGTCGTAGGAGACAACCGTTCGTATTTCTGAAGATTTTGCTCATTGTGTTTCGTGCCACAGAAACGTGCTTGCCAGAACTTAATTTGCAGCCTTTCAGCCTTGCAATTATTGCAAGGAACTGCAATAAGGTCTGTTAGTGCAGTTAACTCCTTGAAGGTCTATTGCCTGGACTTTTCAGTGGGGTGAATGCAATTAATTCACAAGAGGTAAATAAAGAGGGGGTTTTTTTTATGACCAGGAGTCTGTTTCTTGTTTCTGGGGTAGAACACCACCTCGGAGTAACATGCACACACATTTTTATTCAAAGGGCTTGGAGGAAAGACAGCAGCTGATTGTCCCTTTCTCTTTTCTTTTTCCTCCTCCTCCTCATGGCAGCTAATGCTTCGGGGAGGTAAAACCGTGCAGGATGTCCAAAGGAAGAGGGAAGATGATGGTGGAATTCTTCTCGGCGGCGATGGTGGTGAGTGTCTGCAGGTAGCGGAGCTGGAGGGCGGCAGGGTTCTCAGAGATGATTGCGGCGGCCTTTTGCAGAGCCCGCGAGGCGTTCATTTCGCCCTCCGCTGCGATCACCTGGAAGGCAGGAGGCCACTTTTTTTTTTTTTTTTTTGAAAAAGCAGATTTGTTGGATTGGCAGCACTGATTTCGCTATAACTGCTTTGTTGAACTAGCCACAATCGGGCTTAGGATCACCATCTAGCATGGTGTGCGAGCCCCATGGCTGGTTGAGTTTGAACCCCTCAGCTTTAAAGGTAAAAGTTCCCCTCGCACATATGTGCTAGTCGTTCCCGACTCTAGGGGGCGGTGCTCGTCTCCGTTTCAAAGCCGAAGAGCCAGCGCGGACCGAAGACATCTCCGGGGTCATGTGGCCGGCATGACTCAACGCCAAAGGCGCATGGAATGCTGTTTCCTTCCCACCAAAGGTGGTCCCTATTTTTCTACTTGCATTTTTTACCTGCTTTCGAACTGCTAGGTTGGCAGAAGCTGGGACAAGTCACGGGAGCTCACCCTGTTACATGGCACTAGGGATTCGAACCGCTGAACTGCCGACCTTTCGATCGACAAGCTCAACGTCTTAGCCACTGAGCCACAGCATCCTTTTATTAGGTACAAATTTTTGAATCTGAATGATTGTCTCCTCTCTCTCATTCTTCTGTTCTACCAAATCGGAATTGTTAGATCTTCAGCATAACCAGGGAGGGGGAGGAAATGTGCCCAACTGGGAAATGGGCTCCACACCTTTTCCTAGACACCACCACCCAAAAAAAAAAAAAAGAAATTCAAATAAGCATTATTTCCCACCTTAGCCTTGGCTTCTCGAGTGGCTTCGGCTTCTGCCGCCATGGCTCTGTGAAGCTGGGCGGGTAACTTCACATCTTTGATTTCCACCCGTTCCACTTTTATGCCCCAGGTACCTGTGGCCTTGTCCAAGGTGACCTTTAAAAAGAAAAAGAAAGACAGGAAAGAAAGAAAGAGAGAGAGAGAAAGAAAAAGAGAGGAAGGAAGGAAGGAAGGAAGGAAGGAAGGAAGGAAGGAAGGAAGGAAGGAAGGAAGGAAGGAAGGAAGGAAGGCAGGCTGTAGTACAGTGGACTAAAGCACTGTTATTAACATCTGCTGCTTGCAATTACTGCAAGTTCAAATCTCACCAGGCTCAAGGTTGACTCAGCCTTCCATCCTTTCAAAGGTAGGTGAAATGAGGACCCAGATTGTGGGGGCAATAAGCTGACTTTGTATAAATATACAAAAGGATGAAGGCTATTGCTTAGCGCATTGTAAGCCGTACTGAGTCTCCGGAAAAGGGTGGCATATAAATTAAAGCAAAAAAAAAAAAAAAGAAAAGGAGGTGAGAGAAAGAAGGGAGGGAAGGAAGCAATAGCCATAGCGCTTAGACTTATATAATACCGCTTTACAGTGCTTGACAGCCTCTCTAGGCTTTTTACAGAGTCAGCCTATTGCCCCCAATAATCTGGGTCCTCATTTTACCAACCTTGGAAGGATGGAAGGTTGAGTCAACCTTGAGCCAGTGAGAATCAAACTCCTGGCAGTGGGCAGAGTTAGCCGGCAATACTGCATTCTAACCACTGCAACACCATAGAATGAATGAATGGAAGGGAGGGAGGGAGGGAGGGAGGGAGGGGAAAAGGTTCGGGAAACCAACCCACCCAACAAGCTCAGAGAACAAACCTCCATCCTCATCCTAGACCCAACTACGGATATTCGCCAATATAGACATGTCCGGGAAGCCCACCAAGAATTGGGCTCAACTGGGAAGGGACTTCACCGTTTCTGCACACCGCACCGAGATCTGACGTCGGTTTGCTCCGAATCCCTGCCAAAGAAGCCACTGGGGCTGTGGCTTATCCGAACCTGCATGTTTTGGGCGATCTCCTCCCGGTCGGAGAGAATCTGAGCCAGGTTCTTGGTTCCCAAGGCATTTCTTAAGGTGGTTTGAGCCAGGAGCCGAGTGGCCAGGTCCATGTAGAGGACGTTTGCGACGGAAAGGATTGCGTTGTAAACTCGGTAATAAACAACGCCGTCCACCATGATCGTCACTGAATCTTTGGTGAGAATCTAGAAGAGGACAGCAGCGAGGGGGAAAAAAAGCGAAAAGCATTTGCAGACAGTCCTCAGTTTATGACCACAATGGAACCCAGAATTTATGAGAAATTAGATAAGTGAGTTTGGTCCCATTTTACGATTTTTCCCGCCACGTTTCTTAAGTGAATTACTGCAATTGTTAAGTTAGTCACATGGTTGTTAAGTTGTTAAGGGGATCACCTCACCCCGGGAAGCTACAACTGTCATAAATATGAGTCAGTTGCCAAGCTTCCGAATTTTTTATTTTTATTTTTTATTTATACATTTTTTTTCCTTTAATATACCTAAGTGCTTAGTCAACAGTGTATTGTCTGAGTCCGTTCTACTTATACAAAATCATAATATTCCTACTTGTAATAATAATAATAATAACAATAGTAACAATAAGGGTAATATTTTCTTATATATAGTAATAATCTTTCCTCATTTCCTTTTTGCATAGCAATAGTCTTTTATCTTTTAATTTCTACCTCTTTTATCCAATCACAAGCGTCCGGATTTTGATCAAGTGACTTTATGGGGATGCTGCCACAGTCGTAAGTGTGAAAAATGGTCCTAAGTCACTTTTTTTTCCCCAGTGCCGTTGTAACTTCGAACGGTCGCTAAGAGAACTGTCGTAAGTTGAGGACCACCTATACACCAAACGCAAGGCCAGTGGCTCTTCATCAGCAAGAATCTGGCTTCCGCTAAGTCCGGGGAAGCTGCAAAACTTTGGTGGCACTCAACAAAATAAAATAGATAGATTTGCTTGGGAAGAAGTTGGTGTTCTTGATTTACGACTGTTCATATAGTGACCAAAGTTACAACAGCACTAAAAAAAAAAGTGGCTTATGACCATTTTTCACACTTACGACCATTGCAGCGTTCCCCAGGTTCACGTGATTAAAATTCAGATGCTTAGCAATTGGTTCAGACTTATGACGGTTGAAGCATGCTGGGGTTATGTGATCCCCTTTTTGCAACCATCTGACGAGCAAAGTCCACCCTTAATGACCGTGTTGCTAACTTAACCGCTGCAGTGATTCACTTAACAACTGTGGGCAAGACAGGTGGTAAAATGGTTAGTTAACAAGTGTCTCACGTAGCAATGGAAATTCTGGTCTCAATTGTGGTCGTAAGTTGAGGACCACCCTGTAGAGTATTTACCTCTTGGGGTGCTATATCAAACGATATCGTTCGCATATCCACTGGGACCGCACGATCTAGGCGAGGCAAAATAAAATAGACCCCTGCGGGGGAAAATATATATTAGGATCCTTAGACAGTGAGAAGTTTGAAGAACAAGATGGGAAAAATGAGTAGCCAAAAATTGCAGACAACGACAACAATGCAACAATTAGAAAGTCTCAAAAGTGCTTTTTCGAAAGGCAACTGGATGATGTTTCCTTTCTCTTTTCAGAGGAGGAGGAGGAGGAGGAGGAGAAAAGAAGGAGAAGGAGAAGGAGGAGGAGGAGAAGAAGAAGAAGCTTCATCGGTTTTGGCTGGCTGGTTGGTGGTGGTGGGAATGGAACAGTGGTGGGTTGCTACCGGTTCACCCCGGTTCGGGCGAATCTGTAGCAGCGGCAGCGGGAGGCTTCGCCCACCTACCCAGACGTCATCAAATACACTCTGCGCATGCGCAGAAGTAGTACGCACCCGAGCCAAGAGAGCACATATGTGTGAGCGAACCGGTAGCAAAGGTAAGTGAAACCCACTCCTGGAATGGAAGGGTTACTTCTGACAGGATATTGCATGGAGGTGGGGTGGGGTGGAAGGATTCTATTTCTTTGCAGTCATCTGGTCGTTAGCACTCTCCGTCAACGACCAGATGACTGCAAAGAAACAGAATCCTTCCACGCCCCCCAACATCTTGTCAGAACTGATGAAGCTTCTTGGATGAGAAGTGAAACAGCTTCTTCATTCTCAGGAGAAATCCATCCATCCATCATCCCTCTCATTCATTCATCCATCAATTTCTCCATCTGTCCATCCATCCATCCACCCACCCATCCTGATCTGTCCCCGTCCACACACACACACAAACACAGCCAGCCGAGGGTTAAGGAAGCACTTGGCACACACCCAGGTCTTTATCTCCAACTTGGCAGCGATATACACACCGTCTGCCAAGTGCTTTTATTTCCACAGAAATAGAAAGATAATATACTCAGCGTACAAGAGTCCAACAAAAATAAATATTCCTCTCAGCAGTTTCGGACGATGCTCTAGTGACTATCCAAGGTTTATTTTTGTTCGTCACAGGGATCGCTGGCCACCACCCTCTATTATATAGTCTCTGGGGTGTGGTCCAGTGACTCAGTTCTAATCCCTAGCACGCCTCCTGAGCTGCTGCAATCGTTTATCACGCCTTCGGAGGTGTGCGTCCAGGAATGATGTCTCTCCTTCACTCTCATCCGAGCCACCTGTCTCCCTGCTAATCTCCTCTCCCTCAGCCGGCACCTGAGACAGTGCCAGAGGGGAGGGGCCTGGAGAGGGAGGCCTGGCTGACTCCTCTTCCTCATGCTCGGAGCTTTCTTCGTCCGATGGGATAGGCTCAGAGGGCGGGGCCACAACACATCCATCCATCCATCCATCCATCCATGTCTCTCATTCATTCATCCATCAATTTCTTGTCCGTCCTGTCCGTCCACCCATCCACCCATCCATCCGTCTGTCCGTCCGTCCATCCATCCATCCATCCATCCATCCATCCCATCCATTCATCTATCCGCCTCTCCATCCATCCATCATCCATCCATGTCTCTCATTCATTCATCCATCAATTTCTTGTCCGTCCATCCACCCATCCATCCACCCATCCATCCATCCATCCGTCTGTCCATCCATCCATCCATCCATCCATCCATCCATCCATCCATCCATCCATCCATCTGTCTGCCTCTCCATCCGTCCATCCATCCCTCTCGTTCATTCATCCATCAATTTTGCCATCCATCCATCCATCCTCTCTCATTCATCCATCCACCAATTTCTCCCATCCGTCCATCCATCCATCCATCCATCCATTCATCTGTCTGCCTCTCCATCCATCCATCCATCCCTCTCATTCATCCATCCACCAATTTCTCCATCCGTCCATCCATCCATTCATCCAAAAACATCCACATCTCAATTAAAAAACTGGATATTTTCATTCCACTTTTTTGGTCATCCTGTTAGCACTTGAAACCTAGGAAGTTGCCAATTCCTGTGGTTTGCTATCCAACACGTTCCTTCCAAACAATCACAGATCTAAAAGACCTTTTTTTTGCGGAGGGGGGGCATATATAACTTACCAGGACCTTTTGACCCCCCTTTTCGTATATGGCCCAGCCTAAAAATGACCACGCGTTGATATTGCATCACAACCTGCAATGGGAAGATAAGACACAGTTTAAACCCCTCTTGGTACCTTCACTTTTCTGGCCCTCTTAATGCTGCTTGTATAATGTTCAATGCAGCCTGCTCTGTATGGTATGGCAGAATAAATTTCATCAAGGGAGGGAGGGAGGGAGGGAGGGAGGGAGGGAGGGAGGGAGGGAGGGAAGGAGGGAAGGAAGGAGAGGGGAAGAGAAAGGGAGGGAAGGAGAGAGGAAGGAAGGAAGGAAAGAAGAGAGATAAGGGAAGGAAGGAAGATGGGAAGAGAGGGGGGGAGGAGAGAGGGAGGAAGGAAGGAAGAAAAGAAGGAAAGGAAAGAGATGGGAAGGAAGGAGATGGGAAGAAGGAAGGAAGGAGATGGGAAGAGAAAGGGAGGGAAGGAGGGAGGAAAGGCATGGGAAGGAAGAAAGGAGAGAAGGAAATAAATGGGAAGGAGGACTCCAAGGATCTATCATTACCTCTATGCACATCCAGATGGTTATGGGGAAAGTTACAATTACAAAAAGATACATTAGGATAATGAGGATCCATTCACCCAGGCTGTAGTTTTCCTCAAAGTTCCCTGAAAGGAAAAACAAACAAACAAACAAACAAGCCAACATAAAACTGTGAGCCCCGTCCCAAAACAAACCACTCAAAGACCATTGCAATGCAACGTCAGATGAGATTCAACAAACTAAGGGAATGAGAGATGCTTGCTGGGAATCAGGCAGGGGCCAGTTTGAAAAAAAATTCCATTCTGCCCCAAGATAAAAATATGTTTTGTTTGCCTCTTTCAACAACGGGGCAGAATTTCCTCTCCTGGGTTAGCTCTGGAACGGTTAATATTAAAAAAAAGAAAAAGAATGGTGACATAATAATAATAATAATAATAATAATAATAATAATAATAATAATAATAATTTTATTTCTATACTGCCCTTCTCCCGAAGGACTCAGGGCGGTGTACAGCCTATTTAAAAACACAAACAAAACAACAATGTAAAATTTAAAATAATTAAATAAATTGGCTCAGATTTAATGTCCTTTTAGTCTGCCATTGGTCAGAAATGGCATAGGATCTCCTGCTTGAGCAGGCGGTTGGACTAAATGACCTATAAGAGTGATGGCTAACCTTTTTGCCATCGTGTGCCAAAAGCGGGGGTAGTTGGGGGGGATTGCGCGCGTGCGTGCCCACACCAATAATTCAATGCGCCCCATCCTCCTATGCATGCACGAGTGACCCCCCCACTCTCCCCCTGCTTTTGGCACGCGATGGCCCGGTGGTCCCAGTAGACCCATTTTTTTGCTCTCCCCAGGCTCCAGAGCCTTTCTAGGAGCCTGGAGAGGGTGAAAACAGCCTTCCCCATTCCTCCGGAGGCCCGGAAACAGCCCGTTTCCCGACTTCCTGTAGGCCCGGAAGGCCCGAAAATCAGTTGGCCAACGCGCACATGCGTGCTGGACTGAGGTAGGGCAATGCTCGTGTGCCCACAGATATGGCTCCGTGTGCCACTTGTGGCACCCGTGCCATAGGTTCGCCATCGCAGACCTATAAGGTCCCTTCCAACTCGGTTAATCTGTTAATCTTATTGCTGCTAATGCAACGGGCGTCTCCATGTTTTCTCCTCCTTTTTCTCCTTTTGAGCCACTCTCCTGCAGACGCTGCCCTGCAGTTTTCTTGGCAAGGACTCAGACGCAGGTTTGCCATTGCCTGCTTCCTAGGGCTGAGAGAAAGTGACTGGCACAGCCAAGACCACCCAGCTGCCTTTGTTATCTATGGCAAGACTAGAATTCCCAGGCTCCCGGTTTCTAGCTTGGGGCAGGCGGGCGGGGGGGGGGGAAGGGGGGGCTAAGCCACTGAAACCAAACCAGTTATTCATGTTTTTCGGTCTCACATAAACTATTCACTTCCTGCCTGCAAATTTCTCACAAGCTTGCAATGTTACTGCCCCGTGCCAAGCGTTGCTTCATCCAGTTTCACGGAAAAAAAACCCCAACCCGCCGAGCTCGTGCAATAAGGCTTATTGAATAAGCTAACATAGCCGTGGCTAGGTTTGTGCGACATGCTTAAACCCAGCAACCTGATTTCCACCCCACCCCCCTCCGCAACTCTAGTGTTTTTTTTCCCCAAGTGCAGGAAACACCCTGATTGAAATTGTCCTTCCTCCGATCTGGTTTAGTTGCAGTTGAGACGTGTTTCCTGGCTTTTGTGACTTCTTGTGCACGCCAGTTCATTTTTATATCTACGGTAGTGGCCAAAATAGAATAGAATAGAATAATCAGAGTTGGAAGGGACCTTGGAGGTCTTCTAGTCCAACCCTCTGCCCAGGCAGGAAACCTTACACCACTTCAGACAAATGGTTATCCAACATCTTCTTAAAAATTCCCAGTATTGGAGCATTCACAACTTCTGGAGGCAAGTTGTTCCACTGAATAATTGTTCTAACTGTCAGGAAATTTCTCCTTAGTTCTAGGTTGCTTCTCTCCTTGAGTAGTTTCCACCCATTGCTTCTTGTCCTGCCCTCGGGTGCTTTGGAGAATAGCTTGACTCCCTCTTCTTTGGGGCAGCTCCTGAGATATTGGGACACTGCTATCATTATTATTATTATTTATTATTTTATTCAATTTGTATACCGCCCTTCTCCTAGTGGACTCAGGGCGGTGCACAGCCAGAACTAAAACACATACCAATACAAAATTTAAAATTATTAAAAGAATTACATACTTTGGCCCAAATTTAAAACAATTCGAATTAAAACCCATTGACAAATTAAAAGCTAAAAAACTAAAAAAACTAAAAAAATGTCTCTCCTAGTCCTTCTTTTCATTAAACGAGATATACCCAATTCCAGCAACCGTTCTTCTTTATATGTTTTAGCCTCCAGTCCCTTAATCATCTTTGTTGCTCTTCTCTGCACTCTTTCTAGAGTCTTCTTTATACTGTAGCTGCTATTCCAATAGCAAATCCTTCCTAAAAGTCATGGCCTTACATTCTTGATTAAATTATCTTTCCATTGATATATAATTTTATGGTACTACTCCGAAGAAAAAGTGATGTTATTAACTAGTTTTAGAGCCTTGATAGTACAGTGGTTTAGTGCACCCTGTTATTAACACAGCTGCCTGCAATTTCTGCTGGTTCGAATCTCTCCAAGGCTCAAGGTTGACTCAGCCTTCCATCCTTTCTAAGGTAAGTGAAATGAGGACCCAGTTTGTGGGGGCAATAAGCTGACTTTATATAAAACATACAAAAGTATGAAGGCTATTGCTTAGCGCATTGTAAGCCGCCCTGAGTCTCCGGAGAAGGGCGGCATATAAATCAAATAAAAAAAATAAAATACATTTTTCCCCAAAAGGTTTCCACAATTTTGGCCACTACTGGTAGAACCGCGCTCCGCTTTGCAAGTATTTTCAGGGGGTGATCACAGAGGCGTAAGATCTGGAGGGCAGCAGCTTTGTTATCTCAGTGGTAGTGGAGGCACTGGTGGAAGACCCTGGAAAGGATCTATCCACAGGATCACCAACTTGCCATGGTCCCTTTCCCTGTGTTTGTTTGATTGGAGAACATGTAATCAATCCAATCAATCAATCAATTTTTTTAAAAAATTTGATTTATATGCCGCTCTTCTCCGGAGACTCAGGGCGGCTTACAATGCGTTAAGCAATAGCCTTCATCCTTTTGTATATTTTATACAAAGTCAGCTTATTGCCCCCACAAACTGGGTCCTCATTTCACCTACCTTAGAAAGGATGGAAGGCTGAGTCAACCTTGAGCCTTGGAGAGATTCGAACCAGCAGAAATTGCAGGCAGCTGTGTTAATAACAGGGTGCACTAAACCACTGTACTATCAAGGCTCAATCAAACAAACAAACAAACAAACAAGTTTGATGTGATGACACATAATCATAATTGGTTGATCGGCTTGATAGCACATCACCAAATATACTTGATTGATTATTCCTACCGTTTGATGTACGAACCAGCTTAAAGAAATATCCTTAAGAATGACAGCAATAAAGTAATCAATAACGGTGAAGAAGGCGGGTGTATTTTTATATGTCCAGATGCACTCTGTGTATGCTCAGAGGGCCTTCTTAGCAGGGGTCCCAATGGGATCGGAACAAGAGGGGAAGGGAGACAAAGCCCACCCACTCCCCAAAATGGTGAGCCTATCCTTTGAGATCCCCCTCGAGTGGGCGCGCTCTGCACTGGCTCAGGAGCTCGCCGCGCCCAATCCGCAGGTTAAGAAGCTGCGATCTGGAAGTCAAGGCAGCTAGTAAAAGATAATTGGGGGGGGGGGGCAAAAGAGAGACCCCCCCCCAGGCAGATCGGTGGGTCTCACCGTCCAAAATCAGAGCGTCTGGGTTCCTCTGGGTGCCTCTTTCCACGTCGCCCATGAGACCCACCGCGCTTTTGCCCAGGTTGGCGGCGGGCGGGATGGGCAGCAACCGAAAAGAGACCCACGCGCGGGACTTCCCACGCTGCCAGTTGCGGCTCCATCGCTCGCGCGGCGCTCCGCTCTGGTGGTCAAAAGCCTGCGGGCGATTCGTCTGGGGGCATGCATTCACACGACCCGTCCAGCCGCCTCGGGGTTGGATCGCTCGGGCTTTGAGTAGCGACGATGTGCTCCCTCCCTCCTTCCTTTCCTCCCTCCCTCCTTCCTTCCTTCCTTCTTTCTTTCTTCCTTATCTCTTTCCTTTCTTCTCTTTCTTCCTTCCCATGTCTTTCCTCCCTCCCTCCCTCTCTTTCTCTTCCCATCTCCTTCCTTCCTTCCCTTCCTTCCTTCCTTCTTCCTACCTCTTTCTCTTTCCTTCTTTCTCTTCCTTCCCATGTCTTTCCTCCCTCCCTCCCTCTCTTTCTCTTCCCATCTCCTTCCTTCCTTCCAATTCCTTCCTCCTCCTTCCTTCTTCTTCCCATCTCTTTCCTTTCTTCTCTCCTTTCTTCCTTCCCATGTCCTCCTCCCCTTTCTCTTCCCATCTCCTTCCTTCCTTCCTTCCCTCCCTCCCTCCTCCTCCCATGTCCTTCCTTCCTTCTTCTTCCATCTCTTTCTTTCCTTCCTTCCTTCCTCCCTCCCTCCCTCCTTCCTTCCTTCCTTCTTCCTATCTCTTTCCTTTCTTCACTTTCTTCCTTCCCATGTCTTTCCTCCCTCCCTCCCTCCGTTTCTCTTCCCATCTTCTTCTTTCCTTCCTTCCCTTCCTTCCTTCCTTCTTCCTACCTCTTTTCTTTCTTCTGTTTCTTCCTTCCCATGTCTTTCCTCCCTCCCTCTCTCCTCTCTTTCTCTTCCCATCTCCTTCCTTCCTCCCTCCCTCCCTTCCTCCCTTCCTCCCTCCCATGTCCTTCCTCCCTTCTTTTTCCCATCTTTTTTTCCTTCCTTCCTTCCTTCTTTCCCTCCTTCCCTCCTCCTTTCTCTTTCCTTTCTTCTCTCCCCTTCTCTTCCTCCCATGTCTTTCCTTCCTCCCTCCCTCCTTCCCTCCCTTTCTCTTCCCATCTCCTCCCTCCCTCCCGTCTTCTTCCCATCTCTTTCCTTTCATCTCTCCTCCCTCCCTCCCTCCTCCCTTTCTCTTTCCTTTCTCTCTCCCTTCTCCCCTTCCCTGTCTTTCCTCCCTCCCTCCCTCCCTTTCTCTTCCCATCTCCTCCCTCCTTCCCTTCCTTCCTTCCTTCCTTTCCCCCCTCCCCCCCTCCTGCAGATCTGGAGAACAGAAAGTACCCCAAAAGCCAATATATTTTGGGCAAGAGAGAACTCTTCCACAGGCAGACCAACAAGATAAGAGGCCGTCTGTGAAAAGATAGACCCCCCCCCTCCCCAATGCCATGTCTAATGAATATAAACTGGAGCTTGGCCCTCCATTCTGGTGGCAAATCTAGCGTTTCCCTCCTGTGTGATTGCAGCTCTGATGCTACCAGCTCTATTCAATTACTTGAAAACATCCTTGAGATTTATTTTCCAGGCTGGCCTGAGATAACACGGAGAGATAAAAATCTAAAAAAAAAACCCCGGCAAGGTTTGGAAATCTCTCCACCTAGGCTGGGTAAGTGGAGGAGGAAAAGACTTGGCTATATCTCAAGGCAAAGTACGAATGGGCGAGGCGAGCAGATGCTCTGCAGATGTTTTCTCAAGCTTGGAGATGGATCGACAAGGCTTTGACTCAGGAGAAGAGGAAAAAACCCTCCATCCAGCTTTTTGCCTCCCTGTTTCAGGATCTCAATAATGACGAGTCACACCCTGGTCACCACTTCTTTACCCTCCTACCATCGGGAAGGAGATGCATAGCCAGCCGCACAAACAGGCTGAAGAACAGTTTTTATCTGTGGGCTGTCAAGACTCCTGAATGCGAAATAACATCGTAACTACGTAGTATGATGGGCTGCAGGGCCGGCGCAATGTGTAACATGTTCACACTGGTGCAATAGGACTGAGTGTTTGTTAATTGGGTATGGGGTTTTCTGTCTTCACTGTGAGTTGTTCTGTGTTGGGGGGGATGCACTGAGGGAGCTCCACCAATCTCATTGTACATACGTTGTGCATGGACAATAAAAGGTTTGAATTTGAATTTGAAACCTCTGCAAGGAAACCGCCAAGCTCAGAGAGCACCAAAATATCTTCCTTTTCAAGAAAACGTTTGCCAAGGACTTCAGAAACACAAACAGGATAAAAGAAAAAAATTTTTTTATTGGAACGTCAGCTGATAAACAAGGACACTTTAGAATTCAGACACGTTTTCACTGACCATATTTTTTTTTCCTTTTGTACGCGATATTAAGAGCACTTTTGGTAAACGGGCTTAAAGAAAAGTTTCTTTGGTGTGTGTTTTTTTTGGGGGTTTTTGCCCTTTGGGAAAACACCTTCCATTTGAACTCTATCATTGCAAGCTGAATTAAAATTAACCATGAAATTAAAGTGGCCGGATCCCACTTTAATTTCGGAGAATGTTACAATATTTATAATATGGTTATATATTATATATATAATATATATATAATATTTCAACACAGGTTCCTTGGTTCAGACAATTGAAAAGCCTTTAAGCGTTCATCTGACAGACCTACGATTTTTCTAACCTGTTTTCCTGTTCTTAAAACTTTACACACACATAATGCTGAATGCGATGATTACAATTAACCACAAGGCTGATTCAGTCACAATTACCTATAGTTCTGATTTCAATCAGATCTCAAGTTTACAAAATACACAATGCAAATATACAGAGATACGGGGCTTAAAACATCAGCGCGGTAGAGTATATTAGCAAAAAAGCTGAGATTTAGCACAAAAAACATTATACTCACTTGAAAGGAAGCCTATGGGGTTTATTGGTCTTTCAGAGGAATTATTTTAAACTTGCTGAGAATGTGGAAATAGAAACAACAGTCACCGGAGGAGGCCATAATGTTAAATTAAGCTTCCTTTCAGGTAGATACATGACCATGCAGGCAGCTGATCACAGACGTCTTAAAATAAATGTCGAGCTTTTTAGCTTTTAGGAAACAATAAATTTAAGCTCAACTAAAGATTCAAAGGCATCAGCCTCATTTCTGGCCATGAGATTTATCTTCTTTATGGTTTTATTTTTCCGGGGGAGAAAAAAAATAAATAATCAAAACCAGGAAATGAAATACGTTCCTCTTTTTAAAGACGGTTTAAAAAGCAACTCTTTGTTTTTATATTTTTTTTAAAAAAATGTACATAGCAAAACCAGATATCGGGTTACATGGAAAGAAGATGCTTGTGTGTTACCTGAACATAACATGTCGCTAACAAGCACATTATCTCCGTAACTACAATCTGTGCGTTGTTACAATCTCTTGGCAACGGGGCCACTATGGAAGATCTGACTTCTTGTAAGGGAAGCTGTCTTCCCAAGAGAGAAACGAAGAAAATATTTTTTTGTTTAAAAAAAAAATAATTCTTCAAAAAGCCAGACTCTAAACAATTATTTCACTCACCCTCCAAATATTTAAGAGCTGGAAGGCACTCAAAAACAGTCTCTCTTAAACTCCTTCCCATATAGACTTTTTTGCACGAAGGAGGAAAAACAATAAACATTTAATTTATGGCTTTGAGGATTGGACGGGCCAGATTTACAGAAAGAAGAGAGTTATCTTGTAAATTCTAAATGGAAGAGGTGAATTTATAATTGCAATAAGTGCTGAAAAGAAGACTGGAAGTTACTTCTTGGTAACTTTTCTTTCTTCTTCCTTTTCGATTTTCCTTTCTTGCTCGTTAGCTTTGCCTTTGATCCTTTTCTTCTTTTTCTTCCTTGATGTTAGTTTGTATTCGGTTTTGTCTTCCTTTTTGAAAAAGCTTTAGTAAAAATTATATATGTATGTGTATAAAAGAAATCTCTCTTTGAAAGGAGAGGTTCAACCTGGAATTAAGGAGAAATTTTCTGACAGTGAGAACAATCAACCCGTGGAACAGAAGTTGCCTTCAGAAGTTGTGGGAGCTTCATCACTGGAAGCTTTCAAGAAAAGACCGGACTGCCATCTGTCAGAAATGGTCTCCTGCTTGGGCGGGGGGTTGGACTAGATGACCTACAAGGTCCCTTCCAACTCTGTTAATCTGTATAATTTTTAAAACGGGGGAAGAAGCAAAATGGGACTTCTATTATTTGTTCAGAGGGACAACGCCGAGAATCCAGCTGATGCAAAATACTTACAAACTCTACATGGTTGTAATTTCTCCCCTAGCCGTCGCTGACTTTTGCATTTAACCTAGTTTCCCTACCCAAGAGCCCTTCTCTCTTTCACCAACGTGGCTGTCTTTGCTAGTGTCTCATTGCCATAATTCCTTGCAGCATGTCTATAGGCAGGGGGAAGACGATGGTAGAATTCTTCTCGGCGGCAATGGTGGTGAGAGTTTGCAGGTAGCGGAGCTGGAGGGCGGCGGGAGACTCCGAAATGACAATTGAGGCTTCCTTTAGTGCCCGGGAAGCGTTCATTTCGCCCTCAGCAGCGATGACCTGGAAGGGAAAGGAAAAAGACTCATGTCCAGTAAAGCTCTAAAACAGGGGTGTCAAACCGGATCCGGCCCACGGGGTGTTTAGATCTGGTTTGCGGGGCCGCCCTGAAAACAGTGAAGGACCAGCCTGCGTGCAGCTCCGCCCGAGCTCTGTTTTCACTGGCAGAGGGTTGCAGGAGGCGGTTGCAGCCGAAAACAGAGCTCGGGAGCCCGTTTTTGCTGGCAGAACGCTCGGGCCACCATAGGCGCCCCCGACACGAGTGACATTGAGCTGGCCACGCCCACCCTGGCTACGCCCTCCTACCGCCACTCCCCCCCAAGGTCAAACACAACCCTGATGCGGCCCTCAATGAAATCGAGTTTGACACATGGAGGAACAATACTGCATATGGGAAGGGTAGGTATGAGGTGCTCATGCCTGTCCAAAGTTACGGTTCGATAGATCAGACTTAGATTTCAAGATTATCCTCCTTGCTAGCATATTTGCTTTTCCTGTGGGACAACTCGGTGAGACATTTGTGTGTTTGTCTTCCTGATTTCTGCGGTGGCGACAACAACCACACAAAGGGGCTTAATCTTGTGGTTTTTTCCGAGCACCTGCAGAGTCACACACATTTAAGTAAACCTAAGCCCTGCCTGCGTGTTACAACAGAACAGAAGGGCCTTTGATACTCCTAAGTCACGGGTCTGATTTAAATGAAGTTCCACTCCTATTAAAAAAGCATTTCCAACCTGTAATCATGGCTCTTGCTCAATTATGAAGGTGTTTTCCAATCAGAATATATATATATATATGTGTGTGTGTGTGTGTGTGTGTGTGTGTGTATGTATATGTATATGTATATGTATATGTGTATATATATATATATATATATATATATATATATATATATATATATGTAGGTCTTTGGTTATTCGGGTCTTCTCCCACGTAAAATTGGAAGTGTCTTGGCGATGTTTCGACGAAGTCTCATTCGTCTCATTCGTCATCTTCAGGCTGGTGTTCTCGGCTTCGTGCTTCCAATTTTACGTGAGAGAAAACCCGAATAACCAAAGACCTACATACAAACACCCGCGAAAACCTGAGAAAACAAATATATATATATATATATATGTGTGTGTGTGTGTGTGTATATGTGTATATGTGTATATATATATATGTTTTCTGAGGTTTTCGCGGGTTTTCGCGGGTGTTTGTATGTAGGTCTTTGGTTATTCGGATTTTCTCCCGCGTAAAATTGGAAGTGTCTTGGCGACGTTTCGACGAAGCCTCATTCGTCATCTTCAGGCTGGTGTTTTCGGCTTCGTGCTTCTAGGAGCAATGTGTGATCGCAGCTGTTTCTTCCTTTTAACTACCAGTGGGGGTGTGAACTGATTGGGTGGGAGCTTGGCTGTGTTCTGATTGGGTGGAGGTGTGTTCTGATTGGTTGGGGGTTTGGCTGTGCTCTGATTGGATGGGAGAAATTTTACGTGGGAGAAAACCCGAATAACCAAAGACCTACATAACAAACCATTTTATACCAAATTTATATGTATTTCACTGATTAAGAAATAAAGGGAGACTAGTATAGATCTATTTCAAGCTATTTAGCTCTCATCAGCTAGCCATACCCTTACTCAGATATGCAGGCAGCCCAAGTTCGAATCCGAGTAAGGGGATGGCTAGCTGATGAGAGCTAAATAGCTTGAAATAGATCTATACTAGTCTCCCTCTATTTCTTCATCAGCGAAATATAAATTTTATATATATAAAATTTATACCAAATGGTATATAAAATTTATACCAAATGGTATATAAAATTTATACCAAATGGTATATAAAATTTATACTAAATGATATATAAATATATGCCAAATTTATTTATTTTTTAAATGGTTTGTCATGAATGCAACTGCTTGAGGGCTCCTGGATTGGAGCTGAAAGGCGAAAGGGAAGCAGTATGCTCCCTCCCACATGCAGAGGTAGACCAATATATATATATATATACTATGTGTGTGTGTGTGTGTGTGTATTTGTTTTCTGAGGTTTTCGCGGGTATTTGTATGTAGGTCTTTGGTTATTCGGGTTTTCTCCCGCGTAAAATTGGAAGTGTCTTGGCGACGTTTCGACGAAGTCTCATTCGTCATCTTCAGGCTGGTGTTTTCGGCTTCGTGCTTCTAGGAGCAATGTGTGATCGCAGCTGTTTCTTCCTTTTAACTACCAGTGGGGGTGTGAACTGATTGGGTGGGAGCTTGGCTGTGTTCTGATTGGGTGGAGGTGTGTTCTGATTGGTTGGGGGTTACCAAGAGGAGTTCGGGTCAAATCCGGGCAGAAAGAAAAACATTTTCTTAGCTTCCTTCTCTCTCTCTCTCTCTCTCTCTCCCACCACCCTATCCAAGCTGAATGAAAATGCTAGTAGGAATAATGAAGTAACACATTAAATGAAACAAATATACACCACTACCCACCTTTGCTCTGGCTTCTCGAGTAGCTTCGGCTTCAGCCGCCATGGCCCTTTGAAGCTGGACTGGTAACTTCACATCCTTGATTTCCACCCGTTCCACTTTTATGCCCCAGTCGTCCGTGGCATCGTCCAAAGTGGCCTGTTGAGAAGGAAGGAATGAAGGAAGGGAGGGAGTTGAAGTCCACACCTCTTAAAGGTTGAGAAACACTGATCTAAAGGTACTTCGGATGCAAACAGGAGTTGTGATCCTGGGTCTCAATAAATAGAGGTCGTCTTTAAATTACTACCTTCAGTTTAATGACGGTTCAAAGTTACAATGGCACCGGAAAAAGTGATTTATGACCTTTTTTCACACTTATTGTGTATCTATGGCAGTAGTGGGATTCAAATCCTCGCCGCTGGTCTATGGAGATTCTCAGTCATCCGTCAGCTCATGGTTGTCCCAAAGGTGCTTTTTCAAGAGGCTGGTTTGTCTTCGAAGACGTTTCGCTTCCCCTTCCAAGAAGCTTCTTCCGCTCCAACTGAATGGTGGGAATGGATGGATTTATATGTTCAATCAGAACCGAAGAAGCTTCTCGGATGAGAAGTGAAACGTCTTCAAAGAAAAACCCAAGGAAGGAAGTCCAGTTGCCTCTTGAAAAAAAAACATCTTTGGGACTAATGTGCCATGGCAACAATCCCGTGGCCACCTGATCAACATTCGGACGCTCGACCACGTGTTCATATTTGTGTTCTCCTTTTGCGGCCTTCTGACGACCCAAATCAAGGGGGAAACCGGATTCCTTTAACAACCATGTTACTCAGTTAACGACGGTGGGGGTTCCCTTAACAACCGGGGCAAGAAATGCCGTAAAAAATCGAGCAAGCCTCCCTGTCTCGCTTAGCAACAGAAACGTTGGGCTCAATTGCGGTCGTAAATCGAGGACTGCCTATAAATTCCCCCACCCTTGAAAAATATCGATATAGGGGCGTTCCCACTTCTTCCAGAAGCCTTTTTTTTTTTTTTTAGTTGCTTATATCTTCAGAACAAGTAAATCTTCCTTTCCATCGAAGGACGTCCAACTTTGCTTACCTGCATGCTGTGAGCAATTTCTTCCCGGTCGGAAAGGATCTGGGAAAGGTTCTTGGTCCCGAGCACATTCCTGAGAGTAGTTTGAGCCAGCAGCCGAGTAGCCGAGTCAGCGTTGGTGATATTCGCTACGGCGAGAGTGGCGTTCTGCACTCGGTAGTAGACTACTCCATCTACGTTGACCGTCACGGAGTCTTTGGTGAGGATCTTAGTGAGGAAGAGGAGGAGGAGGAGGAGGAGGAGGAGGAGGAGAAGGCCCGGAGAGTCAGCACTTGTTGACAAACTCTTAATAAGACTGACGCAAACAGCTTATTTCCAAACAAACAAAGAGAGAGCTGGCTTTGGGGAATTAGCTAATTAGTCAAAGGAGTTCTGGCTGTTTCATAATCCAAACAATTCTTCGCTTACGGCTTTTCAGCTGGGAGACATCACTTGTCAACACTTTGGGGGAACCCCTGAACCCTCACTGCCTTCTAGCACAGAAGACATCACCTAATTGGGTCATGAAATGTCTGCAAGAAAACAAACCGAGCTCAGAGAGCACAGGCAGAGAAACCCAGATAAGCAGGGATTAATACCAGACAAACAATCCAGCAGAAAACAATAGCTTAATCAAGGAAATAGCAAGAGGGAAAAAACACATACCCATCAACAATGATAGGGTAAGCCACTAGTGTATAAATGAGTCACTTACAAATGTTATCTTCTTCTTGACCTAATAAATGCTTCATTCCCCTTTTGCCAAGGGAACAGATCCTTCGCCTGTCCACCAACACCAAGTCACGGGAGCTCACCCCATTACGCGGCACTAGGGATTCGAACCGCTGAGCTGCCAACCTTTCGATCGACAAGCTCAGCGTCTTAGCCCCTGAGCCACCACGTCCCTCACGGTTAGGAAGCTTCTCCTTAATTCCAGGTTAGAACATTTCAGTGACAACTCAACCCCAACAGAAACTTTAAAAAGGAGCCGTGAAAAGCCTCGTGGGTTTGTTTCGCATAAGGATTAACCTAGAGACACAAAACCTGTTTGCAAAAGGAGAGGAAGGGTTCCTGTGGAAACGCCATACCTGTAATCTGATTTGAACATTAGGCCAAGTCAGGGTTTTAAAGAAAGTTAGTTTGGTTTCTCAACCACAAGGGACTGCGTTGACCCAAGCCAACCACCTCATGATTGAAGGCATCCGTCCACCTAGAAATGCACCTGACTGTAATTATGCTTCTTTCATGGATAAATTGGAGCAGATCTTCCCAGATCCCAATGGATCCTGCTGTGGTCATGCTTAGCTTAGTCTTTCTTGGAATCGAACCCCGATAAAAATTTGGTGTGCGTTATTATAGCCACTGTCAGAACTCTTTCTATTTTTAGCAATGTCAACAAGGCAATTACAGGATGTTCGGGCTTCCGTTGTTCAGAAGTGGGACGTGACATGCCTGCACTGATTTTGTTCAGAAGAAATGCAGCTTCTCCTGAAAAGGCCCCTTAATCTGTGCTGGGTTTTTCCTCACTGGAAAAACATTGCTTACAAAAATGATTCATGGGTGCTTTTTTTCAGGGTGCAAAATGCTCTCACAGCAATTCTCGGAGACAGAATACTGTAATTCTCGGAGACAGAGGAGGAGGGGGAGGGGGGAGGGGGAAGAGGAGGAGGAGGAGGAGGAGGAAGAAGAAGAAGAAGAAGAAGAAGAAGAAGAAGAAGAAGAAGAAATGAGGAGGAGAAAAAGAAGGAGGAGGAAGAAGAAGAAGAAGAAATGAGGGAAAGGAGGAAGAAGATGAAGAAGAAGAAATGAGGAGAAGGAAGAAGAAGAAGATGAGTAGGAGGAAGAAGAAGAAGAGGAAGAAGGAGGAGGAGGAGGAGGAGGAGGAAGAGGAAGAGGAAGAAGAAAGGGAAGGAGAAGGAGGAGGAGGAGAAGAAGAAGAAATGAGAAGGAGGAAGAAGATGAGTAGGAGTAGGAAGAAGAAGAAGAAGAAAGGAGGAGGAGGAGGAGAAAAAGAAGGAGGAGGAGGAAGAAGAAGAAATGAGAAGGAGGAGGAGGAAGAAGAAGAAATGAGGAGAAGGAGGAAGAAGACGAGTAAGAGGAGGAGGAGGAGGAGGAGGAGGAGGAGGAGGAGGAGGAGGAGGACTTGCCAAATCTTCTCAGAGGCAAACAAATGAGAAAGATCTCCATCAACTCAGAAACCAAGCACTTAACATGTTCAGTTCATTGTGCAGAGCCCCAATTTTCTCAGCCACCCAGCAGAACCAGATCAAGAGATAGCAGGACAGGTGAAGCTCTGCAGGAAACACCCTCCCCTCCTCCTATTGTGCAGCTTTGAGTCGAACTGGCATTTCGACCGCAACATTTGCAACAGTGGCATGGACTGGAGAATCCGGTAGGTGGGAGGTGAGGAGCGGAGACTATTTATATATCCAGTATGCTCGGAGGGAAGCCAAGAGAGCAAGGAAAGGGAACACTTACTTCCTGCGGTGGAATATCGAATGAGATGGTCCTCATGTCCACTTTGATGATATTGTCCGTACAAGGCAAGACAAAAAACAGCCCTGCAAGGGGAGGGGGGGGAGAAATATTGAATTCAGGATCAGTGGGTACACGGAAGATACTTAATCCAGCTTTCCCCCCAAACAGTCCCTTCTGCATTGCTGGCAATTCCAAAAAACTCTGCGGTCATCACGAGGGTCAGATTTGAAAAGCTTGCCTTGGGAAAGAGGGGAGAAGGAGAGGAAGGGTTGTCGTAAAATAAGGGAGATAGAATGGTAGAAGAGCAACCCCGAGTAGACCCTAATTTACTTATTTATTTTAGGTTGAAGAATGAACTAATATAAAAGTTGAAAGATAATATGTATGATTAATAATGGATAAGAGATTGTACCAGGGGTGAAATGCTCCCGGTTTGCACCGGATCGCCCGAACCGGTAGCGATGGTGGTGGGTGCTTCGGAGAACCAGTAGCAAAAATCCCTGTGCCCCCCCCCAACCATGCCCAGCTGAGCCACACAATCATCAGAGGCTTTTTTTTTTTTAATTTTAAAAGCATTTTTCGTCGGAAGAGGTTGTAGAAAAAAATGCTTTTAAAAGTTAAAAAAAAAAAGCCTCTGATGATCGCGTGGTTCAGCTGGGATCGTCAGAGGCTTTTTGAAGCATTTTTTCCTGCAACCTCTTGGCTGAAGAGGTGGTAAAAAAAAATGCTTTGAAAAGTCTGACAATCCCAGCTGAGTTGCCTGACCGGCAGAGGCTTTTCAAAGCATTAGAAAAAATGCTTTGAAAAGTTTTTTTTTAAAAAAAGTTGGCCACGCCCACCCAGTCACATTACCCCCCCTACCAAGCCACACCCACAGAACCGGTAGTAACAAATTTTTAAAAATTTTAAAAAGGAGCCTGGATAGCTCAACAGACAGAGCACTGTAATTTAACACCAGCTGCCTGCAATTACTGTAAGTTCGAATCTCTCCAGGCTCAAGGTTGACTCAGCCTTCCATCCTTTCTAAGGTAGGTAAATTGAGGACCCAGTTTGTGGGGGCAATAAGCTGACTTTGTATAAATATACAAAAGGATGAAGGCTATTGCTTAACGCACTGTAAGCTGCCCTGAGTCTCCGGAGAAGGGTGGCATATAAATCAAATTTAAAAAAAAAATTACATTTCACCCTTGGATTGTACACTTAAGTATGTTTATGAGAAATAAAAATAAAAAAAGTTTCCAAAAAAAAAAAAAGATTTAAAAAGCTTGCCTTGGTTCAAACTTCACCAGATTTCCCTTTTATGGAATACTGAGAGATGGAAAGAAGAAGAGGAAGGAGGAGGAGGAGGAATAATGGAGTGAAGGATATAACCATACAGAATAACCGACTAACAGAGATGGAAGGGACCTTGGAGGTCTTCTAGTCCAACCTCCTGCTGAAGAAGCAGACCCTATAACAGTGAGGGCGAACCTTTTCAACACTGAGTGCCCAAACCGGAAACCCAAAAACCAGCTGCCCAGAGCACGCATTTCTGTTTTTTTGGGCATTTTTCAGGCTGTTTTTCAGCTGTTTCCAGGCCATTTCCAGGACCATGGAGATTTTGCAGTATCCTTCCCCTGCCATGCCCACCAAGCCATGCCCACCGAGCCATGCCCACAGGACCGGTAGTAAAAAATATTAGATTTCACTACTGCATGTACCATATTCATAACTCACCTGGCCCCTTTGCACCTCCTTTTAGGATACGTCCAAGTCTAAAGATGATGGCTCTCTCATATTCCTTGACAATCTGCAATTGAGAGGAGAGGAAGCCACAGTTGGTTTTTCCAAGCATTGCTTTAAATAATCTATACACCCCAGTCTATTTCCACCCACCCACCCCAATCTTCACATCTAGCAAGAGCCTTGGTAGTACAGTGGTCTAAGGCACCCTGTTATTAAGCTGGTTATTAAGACCAGCTGCCTGCAATTACTGCAGGTTCAAATCTCGCCAAGGCTCAAGGTTGACTCAGCCTTCCATCCTTTCTAAGGTAGGTAAATTGAGGACCCAGTTGTGGGGGCAATAAGCTGATTTTGTATAAATATACAAAAGAATGAAAGCTATTGCTTAATGCATTGTAAGCCGCCCTGAATCTCCGGAGAAGGGCGGCATATAAATCGAAATAAAATAAATAAATTTTAAAAAAAATAGCACATGTGGACCAAAATATAGAGGAGAAGATCACACAGAAGTGCAGAAGAATGTCCAAAAACTCTTTATTGGGACCCTTCTAAGTCCATGATGGCGAACCTATGGCAAAAAGGTTAGCCATCACTGTTCTAAATCCTTGGTGGTAAATCAACATTCCTATTGGCTGATGAGGGGCTTCAATCTCTTCCCTGGCTGTTTTTGTCCCTGCTCGTCCAACAATCTTAGTAGCTTCAACATTGAATGTGTGTCCTCGTTCATTGCAACGTGAGGCTACCAGGAAGTTTGGGTCTCCTCGTTTGACCACTTGCAATCTGGTGGTGGGCTCCTCCTCACCTGTCCTACCTAGTCACAGGGACACTAAATAAACTGCATGGATTACCCTGGTGACTAGATAAAACAAATGGGCTCCAGCAGGAGTCCAAAAGATTGGAAGATGAAACCTTTGGTCCCAGCCCAGATTAGATCCTGCAACATTATCCCGGGACATGTGGTTTAAAAAAACAAACAACTTTTCCTTTTTACCTTTATGCAGAACCAAATGGAAATAGGAGCAGTGACAACCACGAGTAGGAATGAAAATATAACCAGGATCCAGCCACAAAACCCAAGGCTGCCGGAATTACCATCTAGAAGGGAAAAAAAAGAGACGTTTCATTTTACGACCTTTCTTGTGAAGCAAATCACTTGCTGTCGTTAAGTTAGTCGCACATCTGTTAAGGGAATCTGGCCTTCCCGTTGACTTTGTCTTCTCAGAAGGTTGCAAAAGGGGATCCCGGGAACACTGCGACGGTCATAAATATGAGCCGGTTGCCAAGCATCGGGATTTTGATTACGTGACCACGGGAAACTGCAACGGTCGTAGGCATTGTTGGGATTCAGCCGGTTCGGGCTCGTTTGGGTGAACCAGTAGTTAAATTTCTGGCTGGCCACGCCCCTTCCCACCCCTCCCTTTCCAGGAGTCCCCAAGCATTCCATTTTGGCTCCCAGGTAAGTACAAAGAGGCCTTCTAGGCTCAAAACATGGTGTGAGGGGGCGGCGCATTCCCTCCCACCCCCCACTGTGGCTCTTTTTTGCTCCCAGGGGGGGTGCAGGAGGCCGAATGCTGCCTGTCACACCCACCGTGGCCACGCCCACCATGGCCACGCTCACCCACTCTGGTCATTAGGACAGAGAACCGGTTGTTAAATTATTCGAATCCCACCACTGGCGACTCGTAGGCCTGAAAGATGGTAAATAGGTTTCCAGCGCTATTGTAACTGAACAGTCGCTAAACAAATGACCGTAAGTCGAGAAGTACCAGCTTCTTAAAAACCGATGCAGAAATTAGCAGAATTAACTTCCCGTCTCAAGCGATCGCCCAGAGGTTTCCCCAGTGGTGAAATCTAAAATTGGTTACTACCGGTTCTGTGGGCGTGGCTTGGTGGTGGTGGGGGTAATGTGACTGGGTGGGCGTGGCCAATTTTTTTTTAAACTTTTAAAACCGTTTTTTCTACAACCTCTTCGGCGAAGAGGTTGTAAAGAAAATGCTTTTAAATGCCTCTGACGATCCTAGCTGAGTTGCCTGATCGTCAGAGGCTTTTTTTTTCTTTTAAAAGCCTCTGATGATCAGGCAACTCAGCTGGGATCTTTGACGATCACAGCTGAGCCGTGTGATCATCAGAGGCTTTTTTTTTTTGCAAAGCTGAACTGTTGGATTTAGTGATTCTGTTTTCATAAAGACGTAGGAAATTGCACGATCAATTTCTGGGGGTTTCCCGGGAGACGTTTTCCCGACATTTCTTTTAGCGCTTGTTCCTTTCGGGAGTGAAAAAACCCGAAAACAACTGCAACAACTTTGGATCAGGAAAAGGAGCGATGAAAAAGGGGCGTCTTGGCAAGAAACGGAGCCTGGATTTTTGAGAAAGCGATGTTCTCAAAGTAAGTTCAAGAGTCAGGGCTGTTGAACGTTCCAAACTTTGGAAAGAATGTGTGGGAAAGAGAAAAAGGAAACAAAGAAGAAGAAGAAGAAAAAAGCCGGAAGGAAAATGTGAATTAACCACTGGCAGATGCATTTTCCCATGCTAGTTCATTCTCTCTGGCACCACTCATGAAAAGAGCTTGGCTTCAAACATCTCCAAGAAGCCTACAAAGAAGAGAGGAATGGTTACTTGGTTACCGAGCCCACATTTGGAAAGCCTCTGCTTAATCATGGCTTAATCCTACTTAGTTGCTTAGGACAATACAGCCAGTTGCCCAGAAAAAGAGCTGGACTCCCCTTTATTGAATCTACTCAAGCAAAGGCTGGACGCTCAACTCTCTAGGATGTTTTCGTTGGCATTCCTGCAGGCTCTCCCTTCCAACTCTGGGTTTCTGTACTGTTTTGTTTTCTTGCACATGACACCTGACACTGTGGTTAAGTTCAGGTCATAAAGCAGGACATAAAAGGACAGTGAATGAAAAAGCTACATAGATAGATGGGTGTCTCCTTCCAGACTTCCAGATCAAGAGGAAGCTGCTTCTTCTTCTTCTTCTTCTTCTTCTTCTTCTTCTTCTTCTTCTTCTTTCTTCTTCTTCTTCTTCTTCTTCTTCTTCTTCTTCTTCTTCTTCTTCTTCTTCTTCTTCTTCCTCCTCCTCCTCTTCTCCCTCTCCTCCTTCTCCTCCTCCTCCTCCATGCAAGCCCCACTCCCACTCTTATTTCTTCTTCTTCTTCTCTTCTTCTTCTTCTTCTTCTTCTTTTCTTCTTCTTCTTCTTCTTCTTCTTCTTCTTCTTCTTCTTCTTCTTCTTCTTCTTCTTCTTCTTCTTTTTCTTCTTCCTCCTCCTCCTCCTCCTCCTCTCCTTCTCTTCCTCCTCCTCCTCTTTGTCTCCTCCTCCTCATTTCTTCTCCTCCTCCTCCTCCATGCAAACCCCACTCCCACTCTGTTATTTCTCATCCTCCTCCTCCTCATTCTTCTTCACCTTCATCTTCGCCTCCTCTTCCTCCTCCTTATCCTTCTTCCTGTCCTCTTTATTTATCTTCTCCTTCCCTTTCTCCTTCCCCTTTTCCTCCTCATTCTCCTCCTTCTTCTTCTTCTCCTTCTCCTTCCCCTTGTTCTTGTCCTCCTTGTCTATCTTCTCCTCCCACTACAATAATGTTCCAGACGCATCTTTATCAAAATTAAGTAAAACGCCACCAACCCCTTCTATCCTGAAAAACCAAGGAGGAAACGACTGCCAAAATCTGCTACTCAAGCTACATTTTAAGATATAAATTTTGGAATTGCATCAAAGCAAGTTGCTACCGCCCATTTCAGGCTTAAGAGAGGGAGCATGAAAAACGCAGTACAAATTAACCCAGCATTAAAATTAACCCAGCATTAAAACAGGATTGCATTTTGCAGGGTGGCGGTTATAGAAACAATATGTTTCAGGAATGATAAGCTATCAGCAGCGACTATCACCCTGCAGACACCAATTTTTATTCATCGTTTGTGCCAGCCAGGATGTTTAGAGCTATTTTTTTTTTCCTCCATGGAAAATCGCTTAGCTAAGCTTCAGATGTGAACTGAATGTGTTGTTGCCAAGGTGGTACATATTTAAATGGTGCGTAGTCCAAACATTTATTCTTCTAAGAGCGGGGAGCCTGGCATGCTATGATTCAGGAGGTTACGAAGACCCAGACACAGCTTAACAACAACAACAAAGAAAGGCTTAACCTGGGAAGGCAACTACACATTTCTTTCAAGACACTTGACTGTTAAGCCAAGGAGGACATCCAGTGAAGTGACAAGCTAAATCAGCCACTGAACCTCAATCCTTCCATTATTATTAGAGTCCTTGACAAATAAAAGTATTAAAAGCATTAAATATCAATAGCAATAGCAGTTATATACCGCTTCACAGTGCTTTTACAGCCCTCTCTAAGCGGTTTACAGAGTCAGCCTCTTGCCCCCCAACAATCTGGGTCCTCATTTTACCCACCTCGGAAGGACGGAAGGCTGAGTCAACCTTGAGCCGATAGGAATCGAACTGCTGGCAGTTGGCAGAATTAGCCTGCAATACTGCATTCTAACCACTGGGAGGGAGGGAAGGAAGGAAGAAAGATAAGGAAGGAATAGCAATAGCACTTAGACTTATATACCGCTTCACAGTGCTTTTACAGCCCTCTCTAAGCAATTTACAGAGTCAGCCTCTTTCCCCCAACCATCTGGGTCCTCATTTAACCCACCTCAGAAGGATGGAAGGCTGAGTCAACCTTGAGCCTGGTGAGATTCGATCTACCAAACTGCTGGCAGCCGGTGATCAGCAGAAGTAGCCTGCATTACTGCACTCTAACCACTGCGCCACCACGGCTCATTAAACCAATTAAACCATTAAAACCAATAAAAGATGAAAATTAGGACTGACAGAATAATATGTTGCGATCGGTAATGGATTCTCAGTGGGCAGTTTGCCTAATTTTAAAACATACAGCGTAACAGAAATCGGCCGAGTTCAGAAAAAAAAACAACCCTATTTTGTCCTGGCTGAGAAATTCTGGGAGTTGAAGTCCACAAGTCTTAAAAATTGCCAGGGTTGGAGACTCCTGCCTTAAACGAGTAACAAATTAGTTAACAGAAAAACACGAATAATAAAAAACATTATTTTTATTAATGTTTATTAAAAACATTAAGAGCCGTGCGGATGCAGTGGTTAGAATGTAGTTTTGCAGGCTGACTCTGTCCACTGTCAGCAGTTCAAATCTCACTGGCTCAAGGTTGACTCAGCCTTCCATCCTTCCGAGGTGGGTAAAATGAGGACCTAGATTGTTGGGGGCAAGAGGCTGACTCTGTAAACCGCTTAAAGAGGGCTTTAAAAGCTCTGTGAAGCGGTATATATGTCTAAGAGCTATTGCTGTCTGTCTGTCTGTCTGTCTGTCCATCTCTCTCTCTCTCTCTCTCTCTCTCTCTCTATCTATCTATCTATCTATCTCTCTATCTCTCTATCTATCTATCCATCTATCCATCTATCTGTCTATGTAAGTCTAAGTGCTATTGCTATTATAGAAAAGTATAAAAGGGATAAAAATTATTCTTAATGATAAGAAAGATAAAACCGGAATTCCAAAATCCTCCATTAGAAAAGCTGTAGTTTCAATGCTCCCCTGTCCAAATGGTGGTTTTTTTTTTTATATTGCCCACCCAAAACTGCTGTGGGATGTGGCACCTCCTAAACAGGAGAAATCCTCCTTTCCTTTTCAACTGCCTGAACTCACTGCCCTGTTTCCCAAGAACAACGTCAGGCTTGTCAAGGCCAGCCCACGTAATGCTGGCTGAAAGTCCAAAGTTTCTAAATCCTACGATTACCATGGCCTTAAAAATACAGATAGTCAAGGCTGTCCCGCCGGAGAAGAGCTGCAATCAAAGAATGGCACTGCAGAAGGGAGACGACGCGCTCTCGCGCGCAAATGCGCAAATCTCTTTCCCAATCCAGACTCAAGATATTCTGACAAGAAGACTTGGAGTCCTGGATTTGCCCTTTGTGTCTCTTTGCAGCCCGTTCGAGAAATGCTGGGGAGATTCTAAGCTTGCGCAATGCCGAAAAGCCCCTCCGAAGAGGGGAGAAAAATTGCAGAGAAGGAAGGGTTGGGCAAGGCGAAAATAACTCTTCAAAACCCCCCAAATTCTCAAG